CGTTGAAGTAAAAATGTCACTTTTGCTTCAATGTTCAATAACTCGGTGAAAAAAAATCGTAAAACGATCAATAAAAAAAAAATTGAAGGTAAAGATTCACTCTATCGAATGCTCTAAATAGCATTATTGTGAAATTTTTAGTACACGCCACAGACCTTGTAAAATTTGATCAAAATTTTCAAATTTGACGGGTATCCATTTGTATCCGCGTAGCTCCATGAAGGATCGATCAAATCGAAATATCGATTACCGATTTGAAAAGTAGAGATTTCAACCTTTAAAATACTTTTTCGATTTATTTTCTGCGACGATTTTTCACCAAGTTATGGTGTTCTGAATATTGTACAACTTTGAGCGTGTCGAAAGTGTTCCCTATTTTTTGTTGAGTAGTGTATATAACTATGCATACAAGTTATGTGAAGAAGCCATGGAAATTCTTCAGAAAAAATTTGATCTCAAGGCATGGAAACAATTAACGCAAGGTACTCTTATTCTCGTTCAGATGTTTAATCGACGAAGAGCCGGTGAAATTGAGAGACTCCCTATTGAAAATTATCAAAATCAAGAGACGATTGACAATGTTCTTAACCCTGATATATTTGAAAATATGTCAGAAGAATCTCAACAACAAGCCAAGCAATTTGTTCGAATAATTATACGAGAGAACGCTTTTACGGATTGTGTTATTTTTATTTTTATTATATGAGAGAAGTTAAGACGAACTGTCTCTGTATTGTTACATACATTTTTAATTTCATATATCAACGTTTTACTCAAATATCGTTCTAATGCTGGAGTAAACAAAAAAAATAAGTATGTTTTTGCTGTATCTCGAGTATGTTCTCCAAAAAAAAGTTATATCAGAGCTTGCTCTGTAATGCGAAAATTTGTTATTAACTGTAGTGCATCGTTCCATAACACTTTACGAGGTACTATGCTCCGAAAATATCTTGCTACTTACACTGCTTTGCAGAGAGTATATGAAAATAAAGTTTCTGATTTAGCCAAATTTATGGGGCATCATGAAGAAATCCATAAAGATGTGTATCGAATTCCTAGTGGATTGATTGACATGACTGAAGTATCTCGTTTGCTGCAAGCTGTAATAGGCGATGAAGACAGTAATGACAACAATAAAGAAAATTCCAACGGCGACAATGCAACGAAGGATACATCGAGCGATGACGATGATAGTTATGAGAATAATAATAATATAAAAATTATTAATGATAAACTCTAACCACGACCTACGAAAAGATGTATTCGCACATTAAATTATGATGATGACAGTGACGATAAAATTTTAAATAATAGTACTTATTGCCCAAAATGTGAGATAATTATTACTATTTTTCATTTATATTATATTAATTTTTTTATAAATGTATATGTGCTTACTTTTAATAATGTTTACTTTCATAATTACGTAAAACAATTTTTTTATATATAATATAATAAATTATTCTAATTACAGGTTTACTGCAAAAATCAGTAAAATGTATTAAATGGACTGAAATGGAGAAAGAAGTAGTTAAGAAAAAATTGGGTGACATTCATAAGATGTTGAAATTACCATCACTGAATGAATGTAGTAACAATACAGAGACAGTATTTGATAAGATTATTTTATACTTTATAAGAAGAGAAAAATATTACAATGTCAGTAAAATTTTATTTTTATTATAATATATTACAAGTATAAATAATAACTGTTCTAATTTTCAAAAGATTTTCGTAGAAAGTATATCAATACTATACTATTATACAATTTCTTTACTAATAAAATTTAATCAAAATTTGAACACCTTTACTTCTATAAATAGTTGTTGTATTAACTAGTTGTAATAAAAACTATTCATTAATTAAATTATTTTAAGGAATTAGTTACAGGCTGCTGAAAAAAGGAAATCTTGTTTACCAGTTATTCAGAGAGTTATTCAGTTATCCATTTACTCTAAAAGACTTTAAAAATATTATACTCTTAAAGACTTTAAAAATGTTGTAACAAGTATATAAAGAACACAATTAGAAATTAGCTATAAATGATGATCCTACAAGAATGTTGACAATGAGTATGTATTATATATAAAATATATTTAAGCTACATTTCAAAATGTTCTCACCGAGGAAAATTTTACTTGACGTATTGTGGTATATTATTTATCACATATACATTTATATACATTTCGAGTAAAATTTTCCTCGAAGAGGAAGTTTTGGAATATAGCCTAAGAATATAAATAGTACTTTATGTTTACGTGCAATAATTGTTACAAAGAAACGTTTTTATAAAAAGTAATTCACAAATGCAAAGTTTCATTTATAGTTGCTAAGATATTTAGAATTAAAATGTAATTTGTAGAAAATTATGTCCTTGAAGGACAAACCTCAACTATCTCGACTTTGACATATGTTGTCAAGATCATGATCATGAGTGATCTTCAGAAGGTTTCAATCGTCACTCGTTATTTATTATAAAAAATAATTAGCAATTAAAGTTGATAAAAGTTAATGAAATTTCTAAATTATTCTCTTTCATATTTCCTCAACTTATATCTTATCATATCTTTATGCGTTTTTATAGCTTAAAACTCTTGATTACGGACTGTAGATAAGTAAAATATGCAAGTTTATATTGCATTTTATTATTTAATTGCTTGTAACATCTTTTCCCATAGGAGATGGCACCTTATCTATATATATAGGGGGAAGATGTCACTTTTGAAGGGTATGACATATCAATTTTTTCCAATAATACGGAATATCAAAAGCTTAATTCATTATTTTGAATTAATAAAGTGTAAGAGGTGATTCATATTCGGGCGCGAAAGCCGCGAGCGTCCGAACATAGCCGAGTGGCGTACCTGCACGATTCTGCATGCATGCGCCGCGCGCGTGCGCGGCGGCTGAGTTGGATATATTATATGATGGCGGCATGTTATGGCAACGGCAAGAATTCCCTGTATCGTGTGTTAGAAACTGTTAGCCAATAAAAGTTACGAACTGTGAAGTTTATGCTTAATTATGTTAAACTGTTCTCCGATGCAGCTTTAGTTAGTTTATTCGTCCTCCCATTAGTTTTCCTCACAAAAGAAAAATTTCCAGAATATAAATAACATTTTTTCGTAGGTTATTTCAATATCATTCAGAAATTGTTCAAGAATAAAGGCTTAAGTACGGTGTCCCGAATAACCTTATTAATTGTACAAAATGAACCTCAAAATCATAAAACTTATAATATTTTGCTGACTTAGAATATATCAAAATTGCAGTATATAATGTTTAATTTGAGGACACATTTCCTTTTGATACACCTAGTGTATAATTTGGAGACATTCATACAAGTACTGTATAATTTGGAGACATTTCATGTAGGTACTGTATAGTTTGAGAACAGTCTCTAATCTATGCTTTGTTCCCAAGAAATCTCAAAGCATGCGATGACTATAGAATTGCCAATATTTTCTTGTCTATTGATATATAAACGGGATTTTCGGTTTAACTCTGTGTATTAGGTGTTATAACAACAATTAAATGAATAAAAAAGGGATGTCCCAAAGTATGCTTTCTACAAACATATATATATATATATGATCATATAGAGACAAAATCCATATATGATTGTGCTATATATGGTCATATATATAATTATATATAAACTTTTTTCCTCGGGACGTTAATTTATGTAGCGTGGTATTTGTAAATAAAGACAATTTGGATATATCTAAATGACAAGATCGCTTTAAAACATTTGTAAAAATGGAACAAAACTGTCCTTTCCTCCCTTGACAATCAGCAAATGATCGTAAAAGACACGTAAAGTGAGCTCATACTCGGGCAGAAACACACGGTCTGACAGCTGTTGAAACGAGTGAAAAATACGCTTTCACATATAAAATTCCAAGATAACTTTAGTTTTCTTCAATAATTACGACTTTGACAAGTGCGAAACAAGTCATATTTTCACAATTAAGCAAATAACAACGAAATGGCACGCAACATAAATTTCGTCGTCAAAACATTATTTTTTCACGACTATAAGTTCAGTCATTTATCGTGGTGCGGCACTGTAACATACACGAGTAAAGCTCTGTATATCAAAGTAGCGCATTCCTTTTATCTGAGCCGAAATGCCAACATCCTTCCTATTGGCTATTTCGACCGTCATTTTGATTTAGTCGTCTACTTTAGTTGTCTATAGTCCAATAAGTGCTTAGTATTATTGATATAGGGTATGATTAGTAGGTCCAACATGAAGGACCTATTCGTTACTTTGATATATAGAGCTTTACACACAAGCATGAGCCCATATACGTGTGCTCGCCTTCGGCGCGCCGAGAGTGAACGAGACAGCGAGTCGTTCTTGTCGCTCTAATCGCTTGTTTTAAGCGACCGAAAATGCTTTCTCGACAATCTCGGCCGCTCAGCGAGTATCAATAAGAAGCGAGCGGTTTACCTCCACAAAGTCGCTTAGAAAATGTATTAACCGATCAATCAACGTTCTACTAGCTAAAATGATTGGATTCGATTTCTCATATTATTCTGTGGAAAAATCATCTATAATACATACACTTTATTTTTTTAAGTGGCCATTGAAAAGTTATAAACAATTTTGTGTTAAAAAATCTAAACTTCAAATAAAAATTCCGAAAAAATTGTATAAACTTAATTGGATCGAAATTACCATTTTTTTGTTTCTAAAAACTTTTTTGTTCAAATCAATAGTTTACAAGATAAAAAATGTCTAGGCAGGCGGACGCCCTGGCCGGACCTCGGCGGCCCCCGGGGGGCGATGCAACGTATGTATGC